ATAAGTAGTAATTAAATGAGCTAACAAAATAGACTTATTTTTTTTGTCACGTTTTGTTTTTTCACACAAAAGAATTTGTGGTTTCCTCCTACCAGAGATGATATTTTAATTTCTACAGTGTAAATCTGACATTTGGCATGACACCAGTATACTAAATGCAAGTTTCAGTGTCATGTGATTTTTCTTAGTCTGAGTAAGTTATAAAAACCACCATTTTTGTGATGTAATAATTCTATAATAGACTTCAAATACCAATATATCACAATATATATCTCGCCATAATTTGACAAGTAAATGTTTTACTTGAAACACCACATAATTCTGTGAGTTGTTGACGTAATCAAACAAAATATCATGTGCATCTAGAATCACAATCAGAATTCAAATAGAGTTACTAATTAGCATAAATTACAGGTATATTATAACAAAATTTGAATAAAGCATGCTAATTTTTAGCAGATGAAATATTGGGACGGCATATGCAAACTACGTGTAAGAATTTAACATTAGCTTCCTGGAAGCGATACTTTGTGCTATTAATTGTATAAATTTATTTACAAGCTTATTGTTGGGTTTATACAAATCCCTAAATAATAGATTACTTTCTTTTATTATTATTAGGTCTAGCTGTAGTGAACAGCTCTCATCAAGCTCCAGTCAAATCATTTACTATTAGCTCTTATGTCATTACATATAGCCCTCCAAGTGTGAGACTGAATATTACAGCAGAGATCAAAAGCCATAATTATTACACTGAAATGCGCTGTGTTGAGATATAGTCACAAAAGGTCAGAATAAATGAAGTAGAAAATGCACCCCCATTAAATGATGAATATGTTCATTACTGTACATGTTATATGAACAAATCATCATAAATTGCAACACATTTTAAGTATTTGTTTATGCATGTGGTTTTACTTTAGCACACATATCAACATAAAAGTCATGTTTTTTGTAGATCGGATAATTCCTGAATTACAAAATGTTGATTGCATTATGTTAAAGAATCAGCAATACAAAATAACAATATTCAGAGTATATAAAGTTTGTGGAGTCCTGCACATGATATATACACTGGGGTATTCAAATTTGTTTTCAATATACAAATTATTTACTCTTAATACCTAATAAGTTGAATTCTAAGATATGGGTAATTTCTGATTAGGTTCTGAAACTATTGTGTGAAACATTTAATGGCATGAATATGTGAAAATTGTGGGAACTATTTGAGAATTCTCTGAATTTGCCAGGGTTCAGAATTACTAGGTAATTCTGAGGTAAATCAAAAGTATTTCGCAATTAAGGCAAACAAACAATATGTGTGATGATCTGCAATATTCAAACATACTGAATATTTGCCACAAGTTGCACAAATATAATCAATCAAATATTTCACAGTCCAAGGACCCCAATACAACTTTAGGAAGGAAACTTTAAGCAGACATGAAACTGCAAAACAAATGTTGAGACAACCAGTGTAAAATTTACTTGACACCTTTTGCTGCTAACTCCTCTTTCACTCTTCGTAAGTAAAATGGATCCGGGTAACCATGACTAAAAAAGGAAAATAACAAAATAAATGTATGCAGAAAGAATTGAAGATTTTCATTCATTGCATTCTTTTTGCTGTTTCAAACTGATGACCCCTCAAAGGTATAGCAATTCCAGAATATTGACATACATAAAAGAGATGAGCTGGTTATAAAATTCTGTATCTATGATTGTTATTGTGACTTCTCAGCATTGCAACCAAGTTGTCAACTGATACATCAGGAGAGACGATATGGATAACATTGTGTATTTTTAAACATGCACATCCTAACTTTTGTAACATGTAATTTTTTTTACACATGTGTTTCTGAATGATTTATCATGAAATAAAAAAAGCACTGATAGCAAAGACAGCATGTAAATGCCAATGTGTATGCACTTTAGATTACCTGCAGGCAGATTTACATGTATCATTACTTCGCCAAATGAATATTTCTTTGTTTGCTGCAAAACAGTTTTTTTAAGCTTAATCGTACTGTAGGGTATTCTAGACTGGCCCAGTTGTTGCAATTTTATTGTTTTATATGATAGTCTTATTTGCAGATTCTTTCGCATATTGACACAAAATTTCCACAACTGGTCTGTTCTGCCACACTCTCTATAGCTATCACTACATTTTTGGAGTTGTAAATATGCTAATCAGTAACTGCCAACCAATGAGAAGCCAGCCTTTGATCTGACCAGTTCTATGCATGCATGACCCTGATGCATAAAATCCTTACACAAGTGCACAAATACTTTCCTCATTTGGAAGTATTCCATTCCCATGTTCCATAACACCACTGCATATCATGAAAAATTAATAGCAATGAATATGCCTCGGAATAGGCAAGTTGTGGTAATTATGTCGGACCAAGATTTAAACGAAAAAAAAAAAATTATAAAATTGCCGTGGCTGTGCTGATTTTTGCAAGATACTGCAACAACATCAAAACAAAACTATTTCATCCAGTGGGTTTTTTGCTTGACTATTGACCTAATGAACTTACTTCGCAGGACCACCATGTCGACTTGTTTTCTGGTGAATGTCATTCCAAATAACTACATTATCGAGGCCAGTTGTCACAGACTGTCCTACAGTGAACAGCAACTTCATTTGGAAGGCTTTCTTCAACAACCTCAGGACTTCCCTTCCCTGTACACTGTCTGGTAAATATGCTCTACGTTTAGTTCCCTGGTAAGCTTTTCCAGGATTGGGATGTTTTTCCTGTGGTAAAAAGTTAAACAAAAAAAACTTCGGGTCAGAGCTGTTGATGTACTATTGCATTAGGATTTAAAAAAAACAAGTCACTGTTAAATTTAAAGCTACAAACAAAAATGATGAACAGTGGCAAGTTGAAGAAAACTGAGACAAAAAATGGCTGTCAAAATGCCACTTTGGATTAAATCAAACAAATGTAAACCAAAGTTTGAACAAGTGCAGACATGGCACAGTGTCCGCCATATTTATGAAAGAGTATATTAGAGTGCATGTGTATGTACATTGCATGTCTTGTGATATGTGCATGCAATCTCTCGAAATGTATTACATTTAACAGCTCAGATTTAAACAAAATCCATCAATGAATACCTGAAATACCTGAATACCTTGATATTGTTTCATTATTTATTCTGATTAACACTACAATATATGACAGGAGTCAATTGTGGTTTAGAAACAGGTATGAATCAAACATGCAATTTTGATGCCATTACGCCATTTTGAATAAGATCGTGACACAAATGCATGCGTTTATGTTTGATATGATGTATGATGTCATATGTATGTGTGAATTTTAAACTTGGTTGGTCTGGGTATATCAGAAAAATGAATCCAGAACTGCATTTTTTAATACAAAATGACAACCAGTTGACCATTTTGAATCCAATCATAGTCCAATTGTGTTCAGATATGTACCAAGTTTAAACAAATCCACACACATGACTGTCGGATATGATGCATTATGTATTTGTGAAGTTCGATTCTTTATTACAAAATGGCTGCCAGAAGACCATCTTGAACCTGGTCCGAGAAAACTAAAATGACGTGCATCTAGGTCAATTGTGCTCAATGTATATACCAAGTTTAAACTAAATCCTTCCACGCAATTGAGAACCAGTGCCAGAATGTGTGATTTTCATGCATTTTTGGCCTTAAAATGCATTTTTGGCCTTGAATCAGAATGTGAAAAAAAAATGCTAGTGTATATGTCTGATGTATGTGATAAGTTTGAATAGATTGGTGCAGGTACATGTATGTGTGAAATACAGATGGATATGGGTGCACTGAGGTCAAGCCCTATTATAAAGTCCTCACTTTCAGATTATATGTATACATTGTATATCTGAATGGGGCCTAACAAACACATTCAATGCATAACAGACTGATACAATTACAGTTCCCATTTTCAGATTTCTATAAATACTCACTGTTTGAATGCCATCGGGGAATTCATAAACAATCACTATAGTTCCATAGCCTGTATATCCAGGAAGACTGTGTAATTTATCAACAGTTGTATTCATAGTACCATCTGGTTGACTGCCTGTAAGTGTACCATAGATGAGACCACACACTGGACAGACTGGTTTATCTTTTAAGGCCCTGTCAATGCAAGCTCTACAAAACGTGTGCTGGCAATCCTGCAGCATTTTGGGGTCACTGACCCTCTCCATACATATTGGACACTCCAATGGGCTTTGAGTATTGGCGAATCGCGCACTGGCAGAACTGCTTCGTTTCGGTTTCTGTGCAAGGCGTTGCTTTGCCTCAGCTCTGGTTAAGGAAGGTTGAAAAGATGTTGCTTGAACTTTTAGCTTTCCTTTGTCACGTGTGGTTGACGTTTGCAAACAGTCATAACAATTCGTACTCATGGTTTTACAAGTACGGCAAATGTAATGAGAGCATGATGGAAGAGTAGTCAGATTTTTGGAGGAGCGGCACAGCTGACATCGTTTGCTGACTGTACTTCCAAGGTCAAGTGAACCTGTTAATGGTTTCCTTCTATCCAGTGAAGATGCTCTTCCCGAGGAGCCTCTACTTACATCTGCTGTACGTGGTCTGCTACGGTCCATACTTCTGGTTCGGTGTCTTGAACTGCCTTTGATTGGTGAGAATTCGTCTTCTAGTAACAGCTTTTCCAGTCTTCTTTGCGTTTGATAGTATCGTTCATTGGTCAGAGGACCATGATCATGTTCATCCAGAATCTCTCTAACGAGAGCCTCTTTATCAGAAGCTGCCAAAACTTTCTCATTATCTCCACCAACAGCACCAAGCTCACTATCATCTATTCGACGATCTCTATCAAATCCATCATGAGTAGCTCTCATTGGTTTTAGAGTAGAGTTTTCTGTTTGATGTCGTCTGTGCCTTTCAGCTGTAAGAGGGCGAGTTGATGGCCGAATCCGTTCACCAAAGATACCTGACCTTGGGGAAGTAAAAGACCTTGTCGGCAAATACTTGTCTATCTCAGCAGTGACTTTGAACTGTTTAAATGCAGAGGTTCCTCTGGGTGATGCTGGTCTCCTATCAACATCCTCAGTAGGTCTTGGTGAGCTTGCTCTTGGAACATCCAAGCTTGTTCTCACTGGAGGTGTTCCTGGTCTTTCAATCCTTTCTTGGTTTGACCAAACTGGAGGTGTCCCTGCTCGTTCTGTTCTTTCCTGACTTGTTCTCACTGGAGGTGTTCCCGGACGTTCTATCCTCTCCTGGTTTGACCAAACAGGTGTCCCTGCTCGTTCTACTCTTTCTTGACTTGTTCTCACTGGAGGTGTTCCTGGACGTTCTATCCTCTCCTGGTTTGACCAAACAGGAGGTGTTCTAG